GATTTTGTTTTAGCCTATGATTTTATAATTGATAATATTTTATTTAAAAAAAGAAATGAACATTTCATCATTTTTGAGAATGGATATATTAAAACCTCATATTTATTATTTTCTTATAAAGCAATATATCATTTAGATTGCTAATATTGTATTTATGTACCAGGATCATTTATTATTTTTGACTTTAAGATGAAGGGTTGAAAAGTGAAAAATAACGTAAAATATATCCTAGGATTAGATGTGGCTACATAAAGATTGTAAATAAAAATATATTTGAGGTAAGATTCAATATATTAAAATTTGTGTTTGCCATGATGAAGCTAATGTTATGTGAAAAATAGTTAGTAATATTAGAAATATTCAAAGGATGTGCTTATAGAATGAAAAGAAAAAAAAAACTATTAATAGTAAAAATAGTTGCGGTGGAATTAAAATGTACAAAAAAAGATTAAAAATTAGAAGCTTTGTTGTAAAAATTGTTTTAGATATAAAAGCTTGAAAAATTGAGAAATACATAAAAGAACTTGTAGAGATTTTTTAGAAAGTCATTAAAAAGTGTGCACGTTTTAATAAGAGTGCTTAGATGGATGAGTGATTTTAAACTTAAAGATATAATGCGAAATAAATATATACATGAAAAGGTTAGAGTAGCCTCAATGACACATAAGATTAGAGAGTTGCCTTAAATGGTTTGGTCACTTTAATGTTGACTTTTTGATGACTCAGTTAGGAGAGTTGATGTATCAGATCCAATCTATATTAAGAAAGGTACATGTAGACCTAAAAAATACTTGGTTAGAAAATATTAATACTGATATTTTTTTATAAGATTTAAATGAGAATTTGGCTCTTAATAGGACACAATGGAGAAAAAGGATTCATGTAGCTGATCCAACATAGTGAGATAAAGGCTTATTGTTGTTCCCAATATTGAATGGCAGTTTTAAGAGGTGTGACATTGATAACCTCATGATAGCTTGCATTTTTTTATGCAAATGACTTTCTTTACAGATAAGTGTTTGTTGGATCACATTGTGGTAGAGGAAAATGAATGGATGCTCTAACCAAGAAAATCTCAAAGATGATGGAAGAAAAAAAAAAATATTTTTAAACTTCATGACTCTTTAAATATGGACTAAACAGGGTGAATTGATGCAGGCCGTTGATTTGTCCGCTTGTTTTTTTTATTTTTATTTTTATTTTATTTTGTTATTTTTTTGAGATTGAATGATAGCCCTACAAGCATATATAATCATCAAAGTCACCCAATAATATCTACTCAGTTTAGCCATATCAATTTTTGATGTAGATCCAAACACTTGGGATCTAGTTGATCATCTCGACTCAAGCATAACTAGAGTGATTTGATCGTTTCCCAACTTGATGACGGCCATTTGTGTAAAACAACTATCAGAAAGTGCTCAATGTGTTTGAGTCAATATCATAACCATTAAGCCTTTCTGCTTCTCTTGTACTGAAGAACTCTGGATGCCTCTGATAGTGTCGTGTCTTAAGTCGATCATATGAGAAGTGAGGATGATGATGCTGGGCGTAGTGGGATCTCTGGCTCAGGCAATTGTGTACTCTCCAATTATCAATTGACACATACATAATAGGTTATTTTGTATCTTGCACGTCCTGTGCAGTTATAAGCCACTAAATCAAGGGTCAAGTCATGTCCTGTATATGATTTAGTACATTTAGTTTTAAAAAAATATTGGATATGTGGCTAAAATTTGAGATTTATTCTATGCTTTGCACAATGGATAAGCCCAAGGAGCGAGAGGGCTTTTTGGATCAAGAAAAGTTGATTTTTTGATCCCCATGTTTCTTTTCTACACTTGAGAGGGTCCAAATAATAAAGCAAGTTCTCCAATTTTTTATCCTCCTCTTTTCAAACGATTCTTTCCCTCGATTTTTGCTTGATTCAAGGATGTCAATCTTAGGCGTTCACATGATTATTTACACATTGAGTCATAGAGGTCTTGTTGTGATCTACTTGTGCTATACTTTTGCAAGGTTGGCTAGGTAGCAAAAGATACACTGAACATATGTAAAGAGTGGGAGTGCTATATTTCAAAAAAATATATGATTAATTATTCCAAGGTTAAACTTAAGATATTATCCTATCTTTCTCGGTTTGGGTTAGGGCTTTAAATAGACATCATCATCAACCGGAGACCATGAATAATGAAGTTGCTAGGGTTGGTTATAAGAAGAGAAGCATGTACAGGTGACTGAGGCTATACTTGGCATTGACTTGTTTTGCTTTTCTGTGTTATATAGTGTCATTTCTTGTTATGCTATAGAGTAAAGCAGTTAGCTTTTTGGTAAAAGGGCTTTGCAAAGCATCGTAAGAGTTGTGGCTGTTTGGTAAAAAACTACTATGACACCGGCTTGAGTTGATAGAATGACCAAAATGGATTTATTTGTAATATATTTTCCTAATCTTAATCTATAATTAAGTTATTAATTTCTTAATTAATATGTGAAAAGCTTAAATCTATAAAAGAAGTTTTGTGGGAAGCTACCAAAAGTATCTTTTAAAAAAAGCTACCTTTCAACTGTCATACAACTGACTTTTCCTGGCATCTATTTCACCAAATACTTTAAAACTACTGTTGTGCAAGGAAGCAGAAGGCAGCATAAAACTATGCCAAACAGAGCTGAAGACTTATGAATCAATCAAGACTAAATACATCAGACAAGAGGTAGGAAATTATCTTGTTGAAGAACCATTTCTTCTTTGCTAATGCTGTTATGTTGCTATCCGATTTGAATTTAGAAGCATAGTCTCAATTTTTTGACCATTTTTGCATGATTTGTTGAAGATAAAATTATACATAAAATATCACTTCTGTTCTCCATAAAATGGATATTGAATCTGCAGATCTTGGCCAGTGACAAGGCCTGTATAACTTTTGTGGGTGGCTTCACTGATGTTGACATAGCAAGTAAATAAAGGGTGATGCTGTGAGAGCGAGAGGGGCATGATGTGGCAGAAGCAAAGTTTCTAAACTCTTTTAGAAGGGTCAGTGATGTAGAACCAGGAGCAAGCCATGATTAAAAATTAGAAAACTGAAATTAATTCCAGCAAATAGAATATCTGAAATTAATTTGGGGGGGATTGATTGGGGGGATAATTAATTGGAGGGAGCAAAAAGGAAAAGAGGTTATGGGAGTGGGGATGGATGTGGGAGGGAATTAAGGCATTGAGATAGATTGCCAATCAAAGCCAATCTAAATGGAGAAAGAGGCTTTAATGCAATTGACTCTTTAAATTAAATTTGAATTTAATTGGCCTTGATTGGAGGCACTTCTCTAATATAACTTTTCTTATTTTAGGAAAGAATTTCAAATTCGAAATTGATTTAAGATTGAATTAATATCCTTCCAAATTCGTCATGATCTATTTTAGGAAAGTAGTAAGACTGGAAGATTTGTAGGCGAAGGAGGGGATTAGGGTTAGGGCCAGTGGCTAGGAAGGAGGAGAGGTGGAGGCTAGCGATTAAGAGGAAGGGGAAGGCCTTGGGCCGATGGCTAGGAGGAGGGGAGGTGGGTGTTGGGTCGACAATTAGGAGGACGAGAGAGGGTGGCTGGCTGCCAGGAAAAAGGAGGGATGATGGTGGAGATGGGGGCCGACGACTTGGAGAAAGGGAGGGAGTTGGTGGAGAAGATAAACCACGAGCCTGAACGCTTCTTGCGGCTGATGGGTAATACTTTGCTTTCACCTAGGGACTCAAACCACGAGCCCGGACGCTTCCTGTGGCTGGTGGGTAATATTTTGTCTTCACCTAGGGACTTCACCTCTCATAAGAACTCTCAAAGCTATCAAGAATGAAGTGTTGAATTTAGCAATGCTAAGGGGTTAAATGATTTTTCTCTTTTGGCCGGCTGCTAGGAAAAAGGAGGGATGATGATTGAGATGGGGGTCGACGGCTTGGAGAAAGGGAGGGAGTCGGTGGAGAAGATAAACCACGAGCCTGAACGCTTCTTGTGGCTGATGGGTAATACTTTGCCCTCACATAGGGACTTCAAACCACGAGCCCGGACGCTTCCTGCGGCTGGTGGGTAATACGTTGTCTTCACCTAGGGACTTCACCTCTCATAAGAACTCTCAAAACTATCAAGAACGAAGTGTTGAATTTTTTTTCTTAATAATCATCCATTCCCTCAAAAGAAGAGGAAGGGGGCTATAAATAACCAAAATATAATAATAAGACAAATGACAAAAATGCCCTATGGGGTCACATATGCCTTCTCCCTCACTTGTAAAAATGAAAAATGCACAAATAAATCAAAATACAAATAATAACTCAAAATAAAGTGGTACAATCATGGCCGTCGATCTTCAGCTCCTCTGGTAAACTTTCACGGTTGTATGTCCTCATTAGTCAGCTTGTGCTACCAACCCACTAACAATGGTGATTTGTGTCATTGATGATGTTAACAATGTGACAGGACAACCACAACATTGGTTGCGCATTATGTGAACATCTCAGTGGTGGGGATTGGGAGGTTTGGAATCTTGAGATCAAATTTTGCTTAGGAAAAACCGGGTTTTATTTAAGATAGGTTTATTCTGAAAAAAAGAAGTTTTAGCATATTTGTTCTTATGACGATGAGTTCATCTTTTCTTTTGGTCTTCTTATTTACTTAATCCTTGTATAGCGAGATGTCTATCTTTTCACCACTTCTGTATTATTTAATTTTATTGTTTATTGACTGAAATCATTATTTTGCAAGCTTGTAAAATCCTTTTGTGAGTTGTCACCTGCCTTAAGCCTAGTATTCTAACTTTTCTTAGAAAGTATAAAACCCTATCAGCAACCTCTTCTTAGCATTAGTTATTCATACTAATTTCAATTTCTGTGTTTAGAACTTCGTTTAATGATATTAAATTTGATTATTCATGTACAGGCTGAGTAATTTAAAAGGTTGCTTATTTGTATTTTGACATTATAATTACATTGTTGTCTTTTTTTTTTTTAAATCTTCAGTATACGCATTTGAACCTGATTTATCAAAACAAGAACGAGCAGCAATTCACGAAATGTGCAGAAAAATGGGGATGATATCGAGAAGCTCTGGGTGTGTATATAGCACTCTAGCCTGTATTTTATTTTGTTTCTTAATCTTTAAACATTCTTTAAAGACATGCATTTATACTGTAATGTAGAGTGTGGCGCTATGTTTTGTTCAGGATCAGCATTTTATTTGTATGCTGCTAAGTGCGTACATGCATGTGAACATTTTATTTATTTCATGTGGACCCTCAAAGTAGCTCTGTAACCTCCTGGCATGCAATATCTTTGGGTAAAAGATGGAAGATGAATTTTTTGATGTGTCCCTTCTAGTCCCATACTTTCCTTAGTGTCATTTTAGTCACTCAACATACCTAAGTTTGAATTAATTTGGCCCTACAGTCAACTTCAGCCTGTTTTGAATGTGTTGACAAAAAAAAGAAAACGAAAATTCGAACCAAGCGAAGCAACGCTCCTGCCTCCAAGCCAGCCCCACCTCATGCGATCTTCCTAAATGATGCAACTCTTTGCTCCGCCTGTAACTTCCTCATTCGACATAAAATTTCCTCTAAGCCCACTCTTTCCATTCATTCGAATACAGACAAGTAGGATGAAGAAACCACTCAGCCTCGCCTCTCTGCTTCGCACATGAAGGGCCGAAGCCCATCTTCATCGTCAAACTTCTAGCGAGACCTGACCTCCAAGCCGCCTTCGTCGACCTCTTTCTGACCCACACGAACCCGACGCCTGAAGCCCCAATCCGACTTCGTCTGCTTCGCGTGAGAGATCTGAAGTCGCACCACCTCATCATTCTTCTGTTGGATCAGAAGCAACGACGACGACGGGAGTCTGCTCATTGCGAAGGTAGCCATCTTTCTTCCCTTTTCTCGCTTTTTCGGCAAACCCTATGAATTCGTCGAAATTCCCGAATTTAGTAAATCTAGGATTTACATCAAAGACAGGGAAACTGAAGATTTAACTCACTGTGAGATTTAATAGTGCCCTAAATCTTGTTTGGCAAGATTTATCATCATCCTGCTCAAATCTTGCATAAATCCTGCATCCAAAATGGTTGTACAATCAAGCCTTATAAACAATCAATTCAGTTTTTGTCTCTACCGTGTGAAGTATCGCATTTAGCACTTTACCTGCAAAGTTATGAAATTCAAATTGCTAGGGCTACATACAACTAATTCTAGTCGATTGTATTGGTTTAAGTCATTAAAATCATAATTGTTAAAAAAAATTGCAAAATTTAAATGAGCAGTCACCCAATCGATGATTTCGCGTCGTTGACCTTAGGTCTGGTCGGGATCTTTTTTAAATTGAAGACCTTGCGCCGTCGACCTTAGGTCTGACCTATGATGCACCGACACTTCTCCTCAAAGAGGCGTTCAGTGTCCGACACCGTTTCTGACACAACACTCGCCCGACACTCTTCCGACATGTGTCGGACACGTCGAAAACGTGTCTGATTAAAAAATATTAAATACAAATTGGATACGCGTGTCCAACACACGTATCTTAAATATTTTATGAAATTTTTTAAATATAATTTCTTGTATTTGGCTTGATTTAAACTAAATTTCTTATTTTCTATCCACAACACCAAATCAACGTCCGCACTTAATACCCAATCATCGAATATTCTCATTTTCATTTCTTTTTGGCAGTGAAGGTATTTTCATCTCTTCTCTCGGTGACTGATAAACGGCATCGACGCCTGACTCTCAACATCCTAATTCTAATCATTTTAAGCACAAATTCAAGTTAAATGACTTATTATTTTCAAATTATTTTTAAAATTGTACTTATTTAATTTTTATACATTATTTTTTAAATATAAAAAACTATAATATCGTGTCTAAGCCGTATCCGTGTCGCCGTGTCCGTGTCTGTGCATTATAGGGTATGGTCGAGTTGATTTTAAATGAAGACCTCACGTCGTCAATCATAGATCCAACCAAGAGGATTTTAAAGCGAAGACCTCCCACCATCGATCTTAGATCTAGCGGGGATGATTTCAAAGGAAAATGCCATCTGAACCTCCCCTTCTTGGGAGGGTACGATGAGAGGTTGTCTAAATCCTTCAGGACACTAAGGGAAATTCCCTAATTGAAGCAATTGGAGAGCAATTTAGATTTTAATTAATCAATCGATTAAATTTTAATTAAAACTAATTAATGGAGATTAATTAATTAAAATAAATAAATAATTAAAATTAATTGAAATTAATTAATTAAAATTTATTGATTGATTAAAATTAACCGATTAATTGAAATTAGTTAATTAATTTTGATTGATTAATTAAAAAAAAATTAATTATAATCAATTGATTAAGAAGAAGTAATCAGTTAGTTAAAATTAATTGGTTAATTAAATTAATTAAAATCAATTTTAATTAACAACTTAGTTTTAGTTGTTTAATTAATCAAAATTTATTAATGTGAATTAACTAGTTAATTTTAATTAATTGGTTAATTTAAAATCCATTAGCAAATTTAGAAAGTCAAGAGCAATTAAAATTCATGAACAATTGAAAAGAGAGTATTGGAATTTAAATTTAATTGGTTGATTAAAATAAAAATTTTAGTTGATTAAATTGATTTATTTATCAATTAATGTGGAGAGGGACACTTTACTAGGTGAGAGTTTTCTATTTAAATAATAAAAAATATTTAAAAAAAGAAAGAGCAATTTTTACTAGTCAGCATGTACAATTCAACATTGAAACTCTCAAACACATTGATCTCCAATCCCTATACAAACAACTATCAACTCAACACTGAAACTCTCAATCATACTGCTATGCAAACCCTCCGAACTTTCCAGCTCAAACACAACACTCACAAACTTTGTTCTTCACAAACACTGTAAACCCTCTAAACTGTAAATTAACACGAGTTCCTGCAACAAGCAAATAAAATTCATTAGCATTGAAATAAAAATGTTAAATCAGGAAAGAGAATAAGTGTTGCACTAAGCTTCTGACAGAAAATATAACAGGCTATTGAAAGTAGAACATGCTACTGGTAAAGTAACTAATATCACAATCTATGACACTGAAAAAAGAGCAAAGTACTAAAGCAAAAACATTAGTGTCATACAACAACTGCTGGCTAGTAAGTGTCGAGCTAGTAAACAACTGAAAAACTCCAGTCTAGTGTTAAGCTAACAAATAACTGTTGTCCACTCAAACAAATAAGCAATTAAATTTCTGGGCATCTTAGCCTATAGGGCTAGGTTGGTAAGACCCACAAGTGAGCTACTTCCATTGGAAGCAGTAAGACTCATCTTATCCAAATAATTAAACAACTTCTAATAGGAGTTATGAGACATACTATTTGGAAAATTTCTAAATAAAATATCAAACCCTCAAACAAAAAAGCTAACGGGCATCTTAATCTAAAAGATTAGGTTGTAAGACCCATTTTTATGCAACTTCCAAAGGGAAGCTGTAAGACCTACCTAAATAATTAAATCAATGGTACCAGACAACTTCTAAGTGAAATTATAAGACTTACATTTTAAGAAAATTGCTAAATAAATTGCAATAATCCTAAAACCTAAACAATCAAATTCAAATTAACAGGCATATTAGCATGTAAGACTAGGTTGTAAGACTCACTGATTGGCTACTTCTAATAGAAGCCATAAGATTCACTTTTTGGGCTACTTTCAATGAAAGCTGTAAGTCCCGGCCCAAATTTAAACACCTGAGTTACTTCTAGTAGAAGCCATAAGACCCAGTTCAATTCAAACTTCTGGGTAACTTCTAAACGAAGTCAGAAACCCCAAACTAAACAAACTACTGGGTATTCTAATATATGTAACTCCAAAAATCCAATAAAACTAAAACCCACATCTAATCACCTTAGTCTTGGAATTCCTGAGAGGCAACCCATCACAGATACTACGATCAATGATTGTTAATGTTAGTAGGCTGAAACCTAAGATATACTCTGGACGACAAAATCACGAGATCTTGATAGGGTTTACCTCCATTTTTCCCACAATTGAGATTAAAATAGCTAAAATTTATTCATTCTTAATTGAGAGTTCTCTATTACGCGTTAAAAGAGGTAATTAATTATGAGTGCTTGTGCTCATGGGAAGGTTGGACCCAAATCTAATTAAACCTTGACACTACACTCAGGGGAAATCTGGTTAATTACAATCTGACTTAAGAGAAATGTAATCCTATGTCTGTAAAACATGATTTGTGCCGATGCACCATTTTTCTTGAGCCAACAAAATGGAAATTGGTACTCCAAAATTGAAGCTTTTTATGAAGGCATTTTTTTAATATTTTAGGTGCAAGTTCATTGAAATTAATGAGGTTGATCCTAAAAGGTCTATAATATCCTAATGGAACACACCTTTAGCCATTAATGTGAAAAAAATACATCATCGGTTAATATATAACTGTAAAGATTCATGCTGCGGAAAATGGCATACTGATGTCACTGACTTGCTGTATTGGAGTTGTTGAGGCAATTTGGGCCAAAAACTGGCATTATAACATAGGTTTTGTTAAGGGTAGATATGTCTGTATCACTGCAGAATATGAAATGGGTAAGTGATTGAGAATGAGGGATGATTCTTTGCTGCAGCTGTGAAGATTAGCATGAGAATGAGGTGAAGAGTGGGAGAATAGGAGATCGAGGTAATATGAGAGAGATGGCAGACTACTTCTTGAAGGTAGTGGAGGTAGGGGCTAGTCGGTGACGTTGAAAGTCACAAAATCATCAAAATGACAGATCTTATTAAAATTGATGGGGGGAAGGGGACTAGCTGAGTTTCGTGCCTTGCACGAGTTGTCATAAGAAACCGTAGATCAAGGTAAGGTGAAGTTATGTGCAGTCTAGTCATTCGACTTCTTGAGTGGATTAGCTGCTAACATGGTGATGGGCAAGGGTGATTGAGTGCATTCTGCTTGTGTCTGACTTGCTTATGCCATTTTTCTTCTTTAAATTAAATACACATGGGTGCATTGGATGTGGCATTTATGTTTCAGAAGCATAGGATCGACCGATCGATAGTGCTTGTTCATTTAGTGTATGGAAGTTGAATTTTAAGTTATTCAGCTATGCCTTCACAATTTCTTTAATTGTACTTTATATTTCAAAAAGACGGGCTTTTGTGTAGGCTCTTGAAGAAGTTTGGTCGCCTAAAGTTAACATGCTTAATGAACTCAAACCATCATCAAAAGCTAAGATAGCTTCTTTCATAAATGTCTTTTATTCTTAATATCTAATTGATCTTGAGTTTAAGGGATATAGAAGGGTGAAGGATTGAAAACAAATTTACAAGGGAATGCTTATTATCTTCCTAAGAGCAGGAGTCTTTACAAAAATAGAATTATATATATATATATATATCTGCGCGCACGCGTGAGAGAGAGAAATTTCATTCCAATCCCACAGGTGTTAGCCTAGAGACTATTGTGGGACCCAACAACTGTAGTGTTTATATATATATATATATATATATATATATATATGATAAATTTCATTCCAATCCTACCATATCATTCCAATCCCACAGGTGTTGGCCTAGTGATTATTTTGTTCCTTTGGAGGGATGTGACTCTTGCCAATTAACTGGCCAACATATGCAGGATTAAATATTTCTTGATTTTGCTCTATTTGAGTGCTTTCAAATTAAACTGATTATTACATGCTACTCTTTCTTCACGTTCAGAAGCTCTTAATAAAGTTGCATGTGATTTTTCATCTGGTATTGCTCATTGCAGTTCAGCATCTTCAGTTTACCACAATCAAACATACCCCTTTGAACCTTAATATTTACAGGAATGGTGCCAAACGCCATCTTTCAGTGTACAAAAGCAAAAAGAAGAACCAGATTAATAACAAGGAAGGAGAGCTGGTTACCTCTCTGCGCTTTTCTGAAGAGGCAAAAGCTATTATGCAAGATCTATTTATATGCTACCCCCCTGATTCTGGAGAATTAAGTGAAAAAAATTTACAAAACTGTAGCAAAGCAGTTTATGGTGCACATTGGAAGCAAGATACTTGCTTTTTGAGGCCTTCAATGTGCAAGGATGAAATTAAAAAGAAGATGGAGCTTCATTCATTAAGAATGAAAGACTCAAAATTTAGAAAGGTTGATTTCCTATTTCTCTTTTGTTTTTTTGAATATTTGAGGCCTTGGTATTGGTTTATTGATTCTTTCCATGCTGTATTTGAATGCGTTTCAAATTTATGCATTGGCTATAGCTGAATGATTATACATGCAGGTTGCAGAAGATAGAGCTAAACTTCCGATTGCAACCTATATGAAGGCTATCACATCAACTTTACAAGCTCACCAGGTCCATTTAGTCGTTTAACACTTGTCCAATTTCTACTCATATGTTGATGCTTTTTCTTAACTTCTGGTCCCAACTCCAGTATGCGTGCGTATTCCTTTGATCACTTTCTTGCTTTGCTTATGATTTGTTTATATGTACGTGCATGCACGTTGCTAGAATTCAAAAAAATAAAAAAAAGTATGATAACAATATAAAATTAATGAGTATCTTAATAGTATTGTATTAAATCAATTTACATTTTTTTTATTTCTTAATCTTAATTTCTTGGAGGATCGTTGAAAATGACTTAATGGACATATACACTTCTATTATTCTAGTCCTCATAATATTCCATGGTGACATTGAGTGCTCATCTTGGTAAATAATATTTCAACTGCTAGGTGATTTGTATGCTTTTTGTTGATAGCTATGTTAGAACCACTTGAATTATTTTAATAAAAGAAAAATTTTAAACTAGTTCATTTTTCTTTAAAATTTCACTCAGTTATAAAGATCCAATTCAAAACCCAAGTTCAATTCCTCAAAATTGATGATGGGAAAGGATATTTTCATTTAATTTTTGGGGAACTCCTCCAATGATGAATTGTTCTCCATTGCATCCTTATTCCTCAACAAAATAAGAGAGCATAAAGAAAATAAATATTTTATGGAGGTGGCTCAATCAATCATGATCATTAATATGGAGGTGGCTCAATCAATCATGATCATTAATTATATGTAAAATATTATTGTTTTTCTTTTGGGTGGCTCGTGGCAATATAAACGGGCTCCTAAGTAGTTCGTGAGATCATGCAAAAGCAGCCTGACGTGATTCCGTCGGAGAGGTAAAATGCTTGCCACCGAGAAGGTGTCCTCGTTGGATATTTCACCGAGAAGAAGAAGAATGAGCTTGCGATTTGGCTGTTGCATGAGAAGGGGTGAATAGGGCAGGAGTAGCCATTTTTTAATTTTATTTTTGATAATTAGACTTAGTTGTAATTTTTTTATTTTTATTTTTTGAAAATGGCTACATGCTCATTAATGCAAAGCAGCTTTTTCTTAGAAAGATAAATATCTTTAGTAGCTTTTTCTTAGAAAGATAAAGATATTTTGAAATCTTAGCTATTTTTGGGAATAGAAGTTTGTTTGTAGATTTTATTGGAGTAAAATTTTTATTTGTTGATTTGTTTAAGAAAAAAGATTCAATTAATTAAATAATTACAAGCCGAGCCTCATCAAGATCAAACCCGATCTCGTTTAATAAGTGAGCTTGAGTTTCAGCTCGAGCTCGTAGCTTGATAAGCTCAACTCGCGAGCTCGTCGAGTCGAGCTCGAGCCGGCTCGGCTCGCTTACACCCTTAATTTCATGCCATCAAGAATTCTAAAATTCAAACCTCCGTCTTGTTCTTTCCAATGACTATCGTATAGATAAACTTATCTTCACGATTACCATACCATAGAAGTGTTCTTTTGCTCTATATGCACATTCCTTCTCGTCAAAGAAGCAAATTATATATGAAAGCTATACAATTCTTTTTTATTGGTCACTCTTCTTATCAACAGGTTACATGTATTATTCTCCTAGTACTTTCAAAATTATACATCATTGTGAATATAACTTTCAAAGATCAATTTTTCTTCCCCAAAACTCATATGCAGAGGGAGAACATCAGCTCTCTCTATGCATATAAGTTTTGGGAGAATATCTATTCTACTTTATTAGCATCCTTACCTTCATTACTTCCAAACCTACTTGAATCTTAATTTTCGAAGAACATAAATAATAAGCAATCTATAAAGGATTGTCTATTTTAAACATAAAGAAAATTCTATCGACAGAGCAAAGAAAGTTTTTCTCTAAAAGTCTAAGTTAAGTTCATGCATCAATTTACAAGGTAAAGGTAATTTTCATTTTGATGATGATTTAGGCATCCATATTACTGCTCTTAGAAAAGCATAAGACATTATTCAAATCACTCAAATCATCATATCTCTTATGACAAACTATCCCTGAAATTCTATGCCCTTGCCATTACTTTTCCATGCATATAAATTCCAAACAATATGTAAAATTAGCTGAATGATTATACATGCAGGTTGCAGAAGATAGAGCTAAACTTCCGATTGCAACCTATATGAATGCTATCACATCAACTTTACAAGCTCACCAGGTCCATTTAGTCATTTACTTTTCTTTGTACACTTGTCCAATTTCTACTCGTATGTTGATGCTTTTTCTTAACTTCTGGTCCCAACTCCAGTATGCGTGCTTATTCCTTTGATCACTTTCTTGCTTTGCTTATGATTTGTTTATATGTACGTGCATGCATGTTGCTAGAATTAAAAAAAATAAAAAAAAGTTTGATAAAAATATAAAATTAATGAGTATCATAATAGTATTGTATTAAATCAATTTACATTTTTTTTTATTTCTTAATCTTAATTTCTTGGAGGAAAGTTGAAAATGACTTAATGGACATATACACTTCTATTATTCTAGTCCTCATAATATTCCATGGTGACATTGAATGCTCATCTTGGTAAATAATTTTTCAACTGCTAGGTGATTTGTATGCTTTTTGTTGATAGCTATGTTAGAACCACTTGAATTATTTTAATAAAAGATAAATTTTAAACTAGTTCATTTTTCTTTAAAATTTCACTCAGTTATAAAGATCCAATTCAAAACCCAAGCTCAATTCCTCAAAATTGATGATGGGAAAGAATATTTTCATTTAATTTTTGGGGAATTCCTCCAATAATGAATTGTTCTCCATTGCATCCGTATTCCTCAACAAAATAAGAGAGCATAAAGAAAATAAATATTTTATGGAGGTGGCTCAATCAATCATGATATATGGAGGTGGCTCAATCAATCATGATCATTAATAATATGTAAAATATCATTGTTTTTTTTTTTGGGTGTTATTATCATTAAATCGTGAGTTTGAACTCGAGCTCGAACTTGAGCGGAGCTTGGCTCGTGGCAATATAAACGGGCTCCTAAGTAGTTCATGAGATCATGCAAAAGCAGCTTGACGTGATTACGTCGGAGAGGTAAAATGCTTGTCGTCGAGAAGGTGTCCTCGCTGGATATTTCACCGAGAAGAAGAAGAATGAGCTTGGGATTTGGCTGTTGCATGAGAAGGGGTGAATAGGGCAGGAGTAGCCTTATTTTTTTTTGAGAATTAGACTATTAGTTGTAATTTTTTATTTTTATTTTTTGAAAATGGCTACATGCTCATTAATGCAAAGCAGCTTTTTCTTAGAAAGATAAAGATCTTTAGCAGCTTTTTCTTAGAAAGATAAAGATCTTTTGAAATCTTAGCTATTTTTGGGAATAGAAGTCTGTTTGTAGATTTTATTGGAGTAAAATTTTTATTTGTTGATTTGCTTAAGAAAAAAGATTCAATTAATTAAATAATTACAAGCCGAGCCTCATCATGCTCAAACCCGATCTCGTTTAATAAGTGAGCTTGAGTTTCAGCTCGAGCTCGCAGCTTGATAAGCTCAACTCACGAGCTCATCGAGTCGAGCTCGAGCCGGCTCGGCTCGCTTACACCCTTAAGTGCATGCCATCAAGAATTCTAAAATTCAAACCTCCGTCATGTTCTTTCCAATGACTATCATATATATAAACTTATCTTCACGATTACCATACCATAGAAGTGTTCTATTGCTCTATATTTATGCACATTCCTTCTCGCCAAAGAAGGAAATTATATATGAAAGCTATACAATTCTTTTTTATTGGTCACTCTTCTTATCAACAGGTTACATGTATTATTCTCCTAGTAATTTAAAAATTATACATCATTGTGAATATA